CGAGCATTCAGACTCTTAAACTGCTTCCTCACATCTGCTTCATGAATATGAAGAGTTGTGGTCGGAGGACACAACATGTGACCTCCAGGAAATGCTGTGTGCCTATAAAGTTTTAGCTAAAAACAGTTAAAAAAAAACCAAACAGCATATTTTGCCTTCAAAATATGAGGACTCGCAGCTTATCCTCTCGTTGCAGAGCTCAGGCTGAAGCGTGTGGGTCATGCCTGCAGCTGGCTTGCTTTATTTTTGTTTTTTAATCTGCTCCCTGCTGAGTCACTGCTTCCCCTAAACGCCCCGCTTTCGATTTCCATTTCCTTTAAATCGTCTGTCTTCTGGGCGACCAGCAGGTGTCGCTGCTGCGCCTCGTAACTTTTCAGCAGTTTGTCAGAGTTTTTAAGTTGAGAGGAGAAGAGTCGCCGTTTCTAATGGGAGGGGTTTTGTTTTTTTTGTTTTTTTGAAATTGTAACTTTTACTTTGCTCTTATGAAATTCCCACTTCTCCCTGATTGGAGGAACCGGGAGAAGCGTGATAAAGACATGATGTAACCAGGAGAAATGCATCAGAGGGCGTGTGGCTGAGAAAGAGCTGGCTTTTTGACTTCTTTGTGCTAAAAATAGGCGCATTAGCTCTGGGATAGAGGCTAATTTGAATAGTTAAAAACCGATTTGCATATGCGCTGAAGCCGATATGAAAACAAGACGAGCCGCCGATACGTGCGGTCAGTTTACATACATAATGAGGGGGGAAATCGGCTTTTAAGGGTAAAATGTCTTTTCTGGCCTCACTATGATGCATTATGCAAATCAATAAAGCGCCGTTTGATTAAAAGTTTGGTTCGTGCTGTCGCGGGGGGGGTTTCCCGTCTGTGAGGTGACGTTACGCGCGGAGGGGGATTTCCACGCGTCTAGCAGCCAATCGCGAAGCCTGCCGGAAACACAAAAGCGGAGCACACTTAGGTTCCACGCATGGCTTCGGGACGGTTTGACATTTCTCCCCGGGATCAGACAGACACTCTGAGCCGCTGTGCAGTCTAACTGGTGGTTTAAGGAGCTGTTTCAGAGTTTAGGACGAAGGTTTGGGCCGAGACGGAAAAAACCGAGAGTCATCCGGTTTGGAGAGTTCTCAAGGAAGAATTCAAGGACACGACGGTGGAGTTTAAGGTCCTCAAAGTGGTCTTAAAGACTGGACGCATGCCATGATAGACATGGACATGGTCAACGGTACCTCTGGTGGGTGGTTGTCTTTTGTAAACCTGTTGAATCTTTGCGTGTGTTTGTGCGTAAAAGCGCTGACATCATCCTGAGGCATGTGATTTTTCACAGCAGAGGAGACAACACCCCTTCCCGGGATTGACCCGCAGGACGACAGTTATTCGAGCCTCAACTCTATAGATTTCGGTGAGTGGTGGGTCTTTTTTGTTTTGTTATGTTTTGTTTTGTTTTGGCTCTGCGTGCATCTGCCGGAAGCGGGGAGGCATTACGGTGACCTGAGATGACCTCTGGCAGGAGGCGTGAACCATCATCAGAGTTCCTGCTTGTTTAATCTTAGGTTGTCTTATTTCCGAAGTCACAACAGCTGATTTCTCTTATCTAACTTTGAAAACTGTGCTGCAGATGCTTGCTTTGTTTAATGTTTCATGATTTCTGACAAAGTGTCAGACATGACAGACCACAACCACCCCAAAAGGTATATTTACCTGCAGATAACCACTGCTCTAGATTCACTTTCACTGGTTAAACTGAGGCTGGCTACATGGCACCAGGCTTGTTTTTTTTTTGTTTTTTTATTGGTGCAGTGCTGAAACAACGTGCCACAGCTTCATGCACCAGTGACAAAAACAAAACAGAGGAAACGGTTCATGTGAGGTGGTAACCACTCAAATTCTGACACACTGTGTCTTGTGACACGTTGCCACGTCTTAAAATAGATTGCAGTAATATACTATTAGGTTTGAAAGATGTTAATGGAAGTGTTTCTGCTTTCAAATCCAAAAACATAAAGAAACAGCACAGCTGCTGCCCTAAAGTGGTGTCAGATTTTTATCACATTTGCACTTTCACTTTGGATTCACCATCAGTTTGTATTGATTCACAGACCTGATTCAAGAATATATCACAGAAAGTGAGCAGGTAGCACCCTCCCTATCTGGACTACCTGGACCACCTCCTCCACCTGCTGGCCTCCCCTGTTCGACACCAACCCCCATCCACAAACCAACGCAGACATCCAAGCCGGTGCTGGTTGCAAGAGGCACCTCGTCTAAGGTTTGTTTGTTTGTTTGTTTTTTGTTGTTGTTTGTTTGTTTGTTGTTGTTTTTAGGTGGTGTCATGCAGGGTGTTGATTTTTCTGGTTTCCAGCTCATTTCACAGTTTCATACGTTACCCAGAAAGACTGCTGGCAACACCCAAGGGTGCCAAGCAGAGAGGTGTTTATATCAGCTGTGGGCTGTGAAAGCTGCCAGCCTGGGGTGAATAGGGGCATAATTTTTTACAGTTTTTTTTAATAATTTTTTTTCTTGGCAAAATTTGTGCTCATTACTTCGATCCAGGTTCTATTTAACTAGATCAAGTCATAATCAATATACCTGATACTTAATTTATAAGAGCCAGAGAAATAAATGTCAGTACATGCACCTATTTTGTAAATATTCAATCACTTTGGCTGCTATGACTGTATAACAGGTAGGAAACTGGAGTCTAAGCTGTCAGGAGAAAGGTTATGACTAATAAACAATGATAACAATAATGATGGCATTCTTATTTTTAGCCTTTTCTTATCTTAGCTGGGCAACATAAACATTAAAACAGTTAATGGATTCAGCTAAAACATTTTATTTATGAGAAGAAACTGTTAAAATCTGCTTTTGGCTTCTCTGATTTTTTTTTTTGAGGTTTTCTTATCATTTGTTTGTGCAAAGCAGTCACACAGATGGGCAGGTTGTTATGCTCTTCCCTCGGTTTATTATTAGCAACAGTAGTTTTATTTCCCATATTGTCTTTGTGCTATTATTGAAAGGCGGTTGATATAAAACACGTTCAGAGGAAGCGTCTGTTCCTCCTCCTCGGCGGTGGCTGCAGCTCTCATAATGAGGCTGTTGTGAGGATTGAATGTCGGTGGTATGAAGTGCTGCATGATTCATGTGCAGCCTGCAGACGGTTGGCTATTTTGCTGTGTGGCACAGAGCAGCCGTTAGGCAACTCGGCAGGCCAGGCTTCTACCAGAAAGCACGTGGTTTACAGGCAGCGGGAGCTCAGAAAGACTGTAATCTGATAAGAGAGGCACTGTAGTGACCGCACAGATGGGTAATAATGAAGGGCGGTAGAAGAGTAGTTCAGCCTTCTCTTAGTGAATGAGCTGCACAGGTTATGTTGCTGGGTTTGAAGAGGTTTTGCAGCTTGTGAGGGAGCGTGGCACACCTCTTTGTGCTTTTTTTTTTGTTGTTATAGAGGAGGTGGGCTTGGGGAGTGGAGAGGACATTTTGGAAGAGCTGTAATCTGACTCCTGCTTTCAGTTTGCCATCCTTTCTGTTTACAAGCCAAACCCACCGGAGACGAAAGGTTGCATTTTTCACCCCCGTGTCAGTGCTGTGATTGGCTGAAGGGCGTAAGGCTGAGCTGACTTCCTATTTCCGTTTGCTGGCTCGGTGTAGCAGGCTTTTGTTGAAAGGTCCAGTCCTTTTTTTTTTCTTTTCTTCTTTTGGGGAGGGGGCTAACACGATTGCAGGGGTGCATACAAACACTCTGACCAAAGACGTCTGGGGCTCGACAGGATATTATGAAACATGATCTCATGCAGAGGTATCACCCACATCTCTGCAGCGATGGTTTAATGATTCACAGCAACACGTCTGACAAAGGAGGCGACTTCTTTACTACTTTTCTTACCTGCAGGTTTGATCATTGTCATTCTTATCTTCTGTTTTGTTGTTTTTTTTGATTAGCTACAGCAGATAGACTGCAGTGAGTCGGGTGAAACTTGATTTGTGATAACTTTGGGTTCACGGTGATGTAAGAGAAAGCAATCAGGCGCCTCGATGAGCAGAAACAAATGAGCGAGGATGGCACTGCAGAGAAAGAGAGAAACTAAAAGCAGCAAAGACAAAAAAGAGATACAAAGTCTTGAGTGGGAGCGGAAAAAGCTCGGTGGTCTGCGGTGTAACGGAAAAAATAAGACATCATATGCAAGAGGAGGAGTCGCAGAGCACGAGGTTAACTCTGCTCACTGATAGAAAGCACATGTATGGAGAGAAAACAAAAAGAAACACACGCCATGAGTCGGTTCTTTCACTGCATGCTTCATCTGTAGTGTCATCACTGCCCAAGAGACATGAGGTCGTTTTTCTTCATTAAAACTATGAAGATGTCGAGGCGGGAAAAAAAAGCTCTTTCAGCAGTAAAACCGCAAAACCGTGTAACATCATTAGACTGTTAATACAGACACACTGGTGTGTAAAAAGTACCATTGTAGTATTTTAGCTTGTCAAAGTAGAGCTACTTTCAGCTGCTTTATATAGAGTGACTCAGTTTAACATGGGGGTTCCCAAAATGGGAGCTGAGCTGCTACAAAAAGATGCAAAGTAAGCATTTAGAAATATTCTGAGATATTAAATTGCATTTGTTGCCATTTTTGACACTTTTCTCTCATTGTATTTTTTTAATGGTGAAATACTGAAACATCACACTTGGTTTTTAAATTAAATAACCTAGACGTTCGGAAGGGAAACATTTTATTAAAAGGATTTTATGAAGTTGTTGTGCTTTGAAAGTGAGTCAGTGCTTCGAAACTGTAGATATTCTTATAGGTTGTAACTGGTTGCGAATGCCTGCGTATTTGACTTGGTGACTTCATCTCCTTTACACATCGAGTGAATGAAATGTGACTGTCAGGTTTTTACTCCTCAGCCTTAAAAGGCTGATCATGTATTGTCGTCACCTCACCGAGGCCGGTGACGTGGGCACCTAAGTTTGTGAATGCGATAACTTGAGGACAAGATGACGTAGGATTTTGTAATTGATACCACAGGTGCGTCTGCTGGGAGTCTGAGGGGTAGCACTGGCAGTTGCCAGTACTTTTATTTTACTGCAGAAGTTCAGTTTTTCTTCTTGGAAGAGTGTTGAGAAAGGTCGATAGTTGATGATCGGAAATTTAAAGGCATAGTTCAACTGGAGAGATGTTTCATACTGTCAGCAAACTGACTCACTGCATTTGTACATCCAAAGCAAGAAAACCTCTGAGTGTAAATTAAGTTTTCATGAGAAACATCAAGTCGAGCCATCTGACTTTTAAATTTCCTGCTAAAACAGATGGAATAGGGAAAAGAAACC